AACAATAGTGGGCTTCCCCTACATATTAGCAACCTATTAAAAGCCAAAAAAAGCTGCTTTCCGGAGAGCAGCAAAATATCCCACCCCCGAATATAGGCGCGCGGCCAATCGTCTTCAACGAGAACTCCGTTTCCGCCTCTCTGAATTTCGAGACCTCGAAAGGCTGAGTGCTTTGCAGATAGCATTGCCGCACAATGCTCTCCTAGCTCTCAACCCGTCGACCCCTCACACGTCCAGGCAGTGGAGGATGAGGTCCGCCGCCGGAACTCACGACCTACGGCCTCCGAACATATCTCTGTGTCCAATGATGAGATTTCATCCCTCATCAAAGGACTTAAGCCGAAAAAGGCTCCGGGCGCGGATGGCATCTCCAACCAAGCCCTAAAACACTTTCCTGAGCAGGTGTTAACCTTTTTATCTATTATCTTCAACGCCTGCTTCAACCTTAGCTACTATCCCACTACGTGGAAAGAGGTAACTGTGATTGGAATTCCCAAGCCAGGCAATCCTCTTAACCTCCCCTCCAGTCATCGCCCCATTAGCCTCCTCAAGGCAATGGGCAAGCTCTTCGAAAGAGTCATCCAATCACGTATGAGGCGCTATCTTTTTCCCACAGACGGTGACCCTCTCATCATTCCCCATCAATTCGGGTTTCGAGCCCAACACTCATGTCCCCAACAAGTTCACCGCATTGTGGAATATATCCTCAGCGGCTTCTATCCTCGTCGTCATAAGACCATCGTGGTCTTTTTCGACATAGCCAAAGCTTTCGATAGGGTCTGGCATACAGGCCTTATCTACAAACTATACAAAATAGGTCTCTCCGATCGCCTAGTACGTCTCGTGGCCTCTTACCTAGAGTATCGTACCTTTCGTTTTAGACACGAAGGCACGCTATCCTCACAACAAACTATCAAGGCTGGTGTCCCACAGGGCTCAGTACTTGCTCCTCTGCTGTACATCCTGTTCACCAACGACATTCCCATCCCGTCGAAAGGTGTTCAGCTCTCCCTCTTCGCAGACGACACTGCTATCTACTGCAAAGGTGTCTCACTGCCCTTCATACGGAACAAGATCCAAAAGTCAGTTGATGACCTAGGAGCTTGGTTCAAAAAATGGCGCATCGATATGAACCCGGAGAAGAGCTCCGCCGTTCACTTCGACTATAAACGACGCCGTCTCAAAAACACTCCACCAATACGTATGCTAGGGACCCCTGTCCCCTGGCATACGACCGCCAAATATTTAGGTGTCACTCTGGATACAGGGCTCACTTTCAGGCCCCACGTCAAAAGAGTAACCCGTCACGCACGGTTTTATCTGAGTAGGCTCAACAGTATGTTGGGCCGACACAGTAAAATGTCCCTCCGAAACAAGCGTACCCTTTATAAGGTCTGTATACGACCAGTCATGTCCTACGCGGGCCCCGTCTTTGCCCACACAAACCCTAATATTATCAATGAACTCCAAATAGTTCAAAACCTTTTCTGTCGTCGAGCTGCGAACGCACCTTGGTACGTCCGTAATGCCGGCCTTCATCGTGACCTAGAGCTCCCAACAATTCAACAATTTCTTAAAAAACTCTCTGAGAACTTCTTCAAAGCCTCAGAGTCGCACCCAAGCCAATTAATTCGTGAGGCAGCTTCTTATGCAGCCACACCCCCTCTCGCTATCGAGTCCGCAGGCCGAGAAACTCTCTCTCTCGGACCCGCCTAATAAACTGACAAACGACCTGAACTGCCTCCTGGCGGCTCAGGCCAACTCTAATTAAATTAAATTATTGTATTAACTAATATTAATTTGCCTTCGTAGGCACTCCCTCAGCGGCTCTTAGCCGCCTGCGCCCTCTTTTCCCAAAAGAGGGTCGCTCACGATAAGGCACAATACAGCTTAATCAGCCGGCTGCCTGTCCCCAAAGGCGGTTTTTAGAGGGTATCACTTAGGGTCCCCGGTAGGACAGTGAGTCCCTCATAACCACGATAGACCGGCTATCGTGGTATGCGTAATGCATTTTCCGCCTCCCTACGTATAGGGTAGCCCTTTAATTGCTTCGGGCGCAAAAAAAAAAAGCTGTGGTACTAGTATCTATTTTATTATTGTCCAAATGTTAGACCTGTGTGCACGCTAAATTTTTATAACTTTTTACGCAATTATAACGTATCAAAATGCCTTCATGCGCGGTGAAATGGTGTGGGAAGCATTTCAAGACATCTAGTTACAAAAAGGATGGAATAACTTTTCATCGGTAAGTAAAAAAAAAAACGAAAATCATTTTTGATTAAATCAGATTATGAGCCATTATAGGGTTCAATTTAAAATGGTGGTTGGGTAAAATAACGACTCGGTTGAGTCTCGCGTTGATGTCTTTGGAAAAGTCTCGTCCTTTTATTAGACAATTCTAATGCTTCCATCCCTTTCTTTCCCTTTGTATGTTTATCATAAAAATTAGTGCTGTTATGTTGTTGTTTAGTGTTGTTATGTATGTGATTTAACAGCTAAAAGTCGATATCGAAAATAATAAAATTTAAATTAATAAAAAATTTATTCAAATCACATACTGTGATAAAATACCTATCTACTTTTAACCGTTTTCAAAAAAAGGTGGAGGTTCGCAGTTCGTCGGTATTTTTTTTTATGTATGTTCGGGAATTTTTTTGTTTTTCTCTGTCCCCGACCGATAATTTTTATGTCGTTAGACACCACTGAGACCGATTGGCCCAGTGCGGTCGGGCGATTTCACATGCAATTATTACGAAGCCATGAATAACAACAAATAAGTACTGTAACTGCTATAAGCAGGAGTGCTACCGAGCCTGGGCTGACGCGTCAGCGTCCAGGGATGTAAACACCAGCGCTCTAAAAAAAGAAGTATAATTCCGCCTCTAGGTCCTTCAAAAGAGTCATTGCCAAGGCAAAGTCAGAGCAGATAGGCAGAATTGGCGAGAGACTAGTTCGTCTTCCTTCTGGAGCCCGTGCATTCTGGTCTCTCGCCAAGGCTGTCCAGGGGAATTTCTGTCAGCCATCTCTTCCATCTCTGCACAGGGAGGACGACTCACTGGCCCAAACCGCAAAGGAGAAAGCCGATCTTCTAGGCTCTTTCTATGCGTCTAACTCGACTCTCGATGACGGGGGGAGTACGCCGCCGACCATCCCGCGGTGTGACTGCTCCATGCCGGAAGTGCAGTTCACTCAGCGCTCGGTTCGCAAAGCACTCCTCTCCCTGGACATCCATAAGTCGAGTGGGCCTGGTGGAATCCCCCCAATTGTGCTGAGGACGTGTGCTCCAGAGTTGGCACCGGTTTTAACGCGTCTTTTCCGGTACTCCTACTCCCTAGGCGTAGTCCCAAAATCATGGAAGACGGCTTTCGTCCACCCGATCCCTAAAAAAGGCGACCGCTCAGACCCGTCCAACTACCGGCCTATCGCCATCACCTCCTTGTTCTCCAAAACAATGGAGTCCATTGTAAACTGCCAGCTCATGAGGTACCTTGAGGATCACCAGCTGATTAGTGACCGCCAATACGGTTTTCGCAGTGGTAGGTCAGCTGGTGATCTTCTGGTCTACCTAACTCACAGATGGGCGGAGGCAGTAGAGTCCAAGGGGGAGGCATTGGCCGTTAGTTTGGACATTGCGAAGGCCTTCGATCGGGTTTGGCACAAAGCGCTTCTTTCGAAGCTCCCTTCCTATGGGCTTCCCGAGAAATTGTGCGATTGGATCACCAGTTTTCTTGCAGATCGGAGCATCAAGGTCGTTGTAGACGGTGCAAGCTCCGATTGCAAGCTTATTAATGCTGGTGTTCCACAGGGCTGCGTGCTATCGCCAACGCTATGCAGATGACAGCACTGGTGATGCTCTTTACACCGGCCGAGCTAATATTTCTCGGGAAAACGTCTCTGAGTACCGGGACAAACTTGTGTCTGAAGTCGAGTCTCTGCTGGACAGAGTCTCGGATTGGGGGCGACTAAATCTAGTCCAGTTTAACCCCCAGAAGACACAAGTTTGCGCGTTAACCGCTAAAAAGAACCCTTTTGACGTATCCCCTCAGTTTCAAGGCACTCCCCTTGTTGCCTCAGCCAGTATCGGAATCCTCGGCGTCGACATATCGAGTGACGTGCAGTTTCGTGGTCACTTGGAAGGGAAGGCCAAATTGGCCTCTAAAAAGCTTGGCGTGCTCAGCAGAGCGGGACAGTATTTCATGCCGGCACACCGCCTGCAACTTTACAAGGCGCAGGTTCGGCCGCTCATGGAATACTGTTCCCATCTCTGGTCTGGGGCTCCCCAGTACCAGCTCCTTCCACTTGACCGCATCCAGCGCAGAGCGGCCCGAATTGTCGACGACCGAGTGCTTTCCGATCGGCTCGATTCACTGGCGCTGCGAAGAGATGTTGCATCTCTTTGCGTATTTTATCGCATCTATCACGGGGAGTGCTCTGAGGAATTGTTCGAATTAATCCCAGCCGCCAAATTTCGTGAACGCACTACACGGCAAGCGTCCCGATACCATCCACACCATCTGGATGCTTGGCGGTCCACCACTGTACGTTTCAAAAGGAGTTTTCTTCCGCGTACAACCTCTCTGTGGAATAATTTACCACCGGTGATTTTTCCGGACCGATACGACCTGGGGACCTTCAAGAAAAGAGCTTACTCCTTTCTAAAGGGCCGGCAACGCACCTGCAATTCCCCTGGTGTTGCAGTTGATCATGGGCGGCGGTAGTCACTTAACATCAGGTGAGCCACATGCTCGTTTGCCCCCTCTTCTATAAAAAAAAAAAAAGATTTCCGAGGATTCCGGAACTAAAAGAAGAGTGGATAAATAAGGATAATAGGGAAAATTGGTTTCCAACAAAATACAGCGCTGTTTGTTCGAGGCACTATACCCCTGACTGTTTTGAATATTTAAAACAACGCCGCCGTCTATTTAGTTCAGCGATACCAACCTTGTTTTTGCCTATTTTGGTAACTTTTTTTATTGATATAATGTTGGAAAAGTGAAATCATGAATATAAGAAACAATTATTATTTACATGCTTCACCAAATAGTATAACTGAGTCGAATATCAATTTACCCGGGCCTTCGTATCAGAATATCACCCCTGTAAGTGAATTTGTTTCGATAATAAGTCCACGGGTAAAATTTTATATAACTGTGTTTATTGATACCCGACATGTTTAATTACAGAGTTCATTATCAAATAAACAAGTGCATGCTGAAGCTAATGCACCAACTGAAGACCAGACTCCTTTGCAGTGTTTTAAATTACGTAATAATGACATTTTTAAGCCTTGCCATGATTATGAAATTCCTGTAAGCTTCATTTTTACATTCTTCTCAACTAAATATTTCTGCAAAATTCAATATTAATAGTTCTTATTACCTTGTTCTTTTCATATTTATTATTTTATCATATATCATTATTTTAGAGTTCAACAATGAGTAACAAAGAAATAGTGAACCCAGTAATTGAAGACTACTTGACTGACTCCGCGTAAACGCAAAATGAAACGACATATAGATCATCTTATATATTCTCTTAGTAAAAAAAGAAATATGTTAATAGGCTTCAAGATAAAAATAGGTTATTGGTAAAAAAAATGCAAATATACAAGAAATTTTAAATACTTTGACAAACAAAAAAAATCTTCTATAACTCAAGAAAATGAAGACATTTTAAGTCGCATAGGTGTACAAAATCAAGAAATTGTTAAACGCCAAATATTAAAATCAATAAAAGGACATATACCTAAGATCAAATACTCGACGGAGTTAGGAGCGTTCTCCTTAATATTGCATTTTTATTCCCCAAAAGCGTACAATTTCGTTAGAAAAACTTTCAGCACATGCTTACCTGCTATTAGTACTCTGAGAAGGTGGTATCAATCCATTGACGGTAAACCAGGATTTACAAAGGAGGCCATAGATACTATCAAAATGAAAGCCAGAGAATCGAAGAGCAAAATTTACGCCACTATCATATTCGACGAAATGGCAATTAGAAGCGGTGTCGAATATCATCCCCAAAGCAGAAGGTACTATGGTCACGTGAGTTTTGGCGCCAGTTTACAAACGGATTGTCAAGACGAAGCTAAAGAAGCCCTTGTTTTCATGCTGGTGCCAATAAATGCATCCTGGAAAATCCCAATAGGATATTTTTTAATAAATGGCACCTTGACTGACTCCGCGTAAACGCAAAATGAAACGACATATAGACCATCTTATATATTCTCTTAGTAAAAAAGAAAGATGTTAAGAGGCTTCAAGATAAAAATAGGTTATTTGTAAAAAAATGCAAATCTAAAAGAAATTTTGAATACTTTGACAAAAATATCTTCTATAACTCAAGAAAATGAAGACATTTTAAGTCGCATAGGTGTACAAAATCAAGAAATTGTTAAACGCCAAATATTAAAATCAATAAAGGGACATATACCTAAAATCAAATACTCGCCGGAGTTACGAGCATTCTCCTTAATATCCAATAGGATATTTTTAATAAATGGCACTAATGCAGAACAAAAAGCCGCTCTTCTAACAGAGGCGATCCATTTGGTAGAAGAAGCTGGTGTAAATGTCAAAGCCATTACATTTGACGGCTACCCAACAAATATTACTATAGCTAAAAAGTTAGGCTGTTCGTTTGAATCAAGTTAGTGCGAAATGCATTCGAGTTTTATAGGAGTTAAAGGACGAACGGGGCAATATTATATCGTGGGAATATCTAGTTAAATTACATAATTTACAAACAGCAGAAAATTTTCATCTGGGTAATCGACTAAGGGCTGCTCATATATTTTTAAAACTAAAATTATAAAGGTAAGCTTAGCAACCCAAATGTTTAGTAAGAGTGTATCAGATGCACTGACATTTTGCAAAGAAAATATTAATTTAGGTCAGTTTCAAGAAGTCACACCCACAACACAGTTTCTGGATATGATGAATGACCTTTTTGATATTCTAGACTCGCACACACATGAATATGATTTAAAACGAGCAGTCAATGCTGACAATGCTGCGAATGTTATATTTAAATTAAAGACAGCAAGAGATGCTATTCTAAATTTGTCCGCAGACATAATTGTAAGAAAAATAAAACAGGAAGTTCGACTCGTTAAATCACCTCGATATACCGGATTCATAGGATTTTGTGTGCGTATAGAAAGTCCCATTGCTCTCATTCAAGACGTGATCCTGAACTCGGAGTGCGTCTTAAAATACCTTCCTTTACATAAAATAAGCCAAAACCACCTGGAACACCTGTTTGGAAGTATAAGATGCCACGGTGGATCAAACAACAATCCAAGTGCTAGGGTATTTGAAAGCATATACAAGAAGCTCCTCACCTATGCGCAAATAAAAAATAGTGGTAGTGGCAATTGCAGCGCTTTTGGTCAAATTTCAATTTTGCAATGCACTTCTGCAGTTAAGTGGAGTATGGATTTTTCAGACCTTGAAAGTCAATTACCTTATTCTGGATTCGGTGAAAAAGTAGTAGAATATATGGCCGGCAACATTGTTCATTCTTTAATAAAGCAAATAAAATGCCAAACTTGTATTGGGGCGCTGATTGGTGTACCAAATCAGAACATCTTACAATTAAAAAAGGACACTAAAGACAAGTTATTTTACGGATCCACCACAGTACTAGACATTTGTTGTCGTTGTGAAATTTTTATTAAGAGGGCGATCAACGAGAGTGGTTCGAAAGTGCTGTCTTGGAAATATATTACCGATTATTTTATAAGATCGGTATTAAAATCTCTGACTGGGTATAATTTATTCCCGGATATTAATTTTCATCAATTCGAAATAGAATCAACAAATCATTTGATTGAGTTAGCAAGATGCATAATTCAGTAATATGTAGACGCTCGTTTATAATTTTTTACAAAATATAATCAGGACCCTATAACGTTAATTCGAAAAACATATACCAAATTAATTAAATAGGGTCGACATACGAACTTTCGATCAAGGGGGGTAATATGTTGACAGTAATATTATTTTTTGTAAATGAGATAATAATGTTATGGTACCTATTAAATGTCGATTAAGATGAAAAAGATAACTCTTGAGACCTTATTTTACTTAACTGCTGAACAAAACTACTTAAAAGAAATATTTTCTATTACATAAAAATAAACCAAAAATTAAAAATACTCGTAGTAAAACTTCAGTTTCTATGAGTCAGAGTATAAAACCTATCCAACTGCAAGTAGGTGTAAGACATGTTGACGTCATATCCCTGAAACTCTTCATCGCTGCATTGGAAAAAAAATTCAAGCTACTGGACGTGAAAGAATACGTTATTAATATCAATGGCGAGTTCATCACTCATCTTTGATTTATCGACGTTTTAGTACTTATGGAAAAATTTCTGGAGGACCTAAGCCTTAATAGTAGTTCAACGACCTCAATAGTGCCTCCCAATAGATAGGTCTTTAGATGAACATCAACAAAACACAAATCAAGTGTAACTTCCATATTACACAAATTCCAGTAGTTGTTGGAAACACTAAGCTCGTAGTTGTTGACGGTTATGTTTACCTGGGGCATATAGTTTGACGAGGTAAGCCCAACTTCGACCAAAGGGTCAAATTTGCAAAAAAATTTAGAAATTTACTAATTGAAGTTTACGGTATGCTAAGTATTCAAAATTACTCAAATCTTGTATTATTTGGTCAAAAAAGAAAATAAATAACAATTTAACTACAAAATCTAAGAATGTATGTAAGACGATTTGGGAAATTATTAAAAATAATGAATATGACTATACAGACAAAATAGATATTGATTGGATTAATAGTGACGGTATAAAAATTGTGAATCCCAATGACATTGCAGAAAAATTTTGTAACTATTTTATTGACATCTCTAACATAAAAATTGATAAAAAAATACAGAAACATAGAATGCGCTTAGACAACCTCGAACATAGCATATTTTTACGACCATGCTCTGTAAATGAAGTTATAAGAATAATTAAATCCCTAAACAATACGAAGTCTGTGGGTAATGATTCAGTCTCTACTCATATACTAAAGGATTGTGCCAATATTATAGGTCCTATTCTTTCAAACCTCATAAATCTATCGTTCGCACAGGGTACGTTTCCCAAGAAACTAAAAACTTCGATTGTGAAATCGCTCTATAAAAAAGGTGATCATCACGAATTAACCAATTACAGACCTATTACACTAATACCAATTTTTTCGAAAATATTTGAGAAGGCGATGCATAGTACAATTTACAACTACTTGTCTAAATATAATATTCTCCGTAGAGAACAGAACGGATTCCAAAAAGGAAAATCCACAACACATGCCGCATTTTCTTTAATACATAGAGTAACTGATTACATTAACAAAAAAGTACCAGTGGTTGCTGTATTTTATGACATGTCAAAGGCATTTGACTGTGTTGATCACATTATACTAATAGATAAGTGTGAAAGATATGGAATTCGTGGACCAGCATTAAATTGGCTAAAATCATATTTAGAAAATCGACAACAATGTGTTGAAGTGACACGTATTGATAAAAAGCATAACCGCACGTCATTTAGATTTTCTTTTACTCACAATAAAAATGGTGGCAGTGTATTGGGTCCACTTTTATTTCTATTGTATATAAATGACTCACCGACTATGACACCTCATCAGTCTATTCTTTTTGCTGATGATATTTCTGTTGTCATACCAAAACTAAATAAAGAATTTACCGCAAGTGACTTCGAAATAATGTTTAATTCCTCTATAGAATCCATAATGATCTAGTTAGAAACCAATAATCTGCGTGCGAATGTTTCAAAAACAAAATTCATAACGTTTTCCAATTACAGTACACCATAATGATTTCTTATATTTACGCGAACAATATACATTGATTAAAACTACTTTTACGGATTTTATAGCGTTTTATTTATATTAATTTTAATACCCGACGTTTCGGGTGCTTTCCAGCACCCATGGTCACGGGAGACTGAGGTGACTGACGTCCCGATGTCAAAGTTAACTCGGAGTACCTTCAGCTTTTTAATTATTGTCTTTGGTCCGATCTACGTAGAATGAACTAACTGTATTTTGAAGTCTTGCAGTGGTATTCTTGGGTTTAGTTCTAACTTTATTAATTATAGGATCCCAAGCAGGTGGTAGTACCCAGCCTCCTTCTCTATTGAAATTAGGATATTTTTTAATTTCAATAGCCTCACGTATCATTCTAGGTAGGAATCGATGTTCTTTCGCGAGGATTTGTGGTCTATCAAATCTGATGTAATGGTTGGGGCCATCTAGAATATGATCGCAAACTGCAGACTTCCCGGAACGTTGATGCTTCACGTCTGCTATGTGTTCTTTTACGCGGGTTCTAATTGATCTCTTTGTTTGCCCTATATATGAGAGACCACAATCACAATCAAGCTTGTACACTCTTGCATCTTGTAGAGGAATATGACACTTGACGGATGGTAAGAACTGACTAATCTTCTTCGGCGGCT